CCGTATTTCCTCCAATAATAGCCGGGGGGGCGATTATTTCTTTTTTGCACAAAACAGGGGCAATTATTCGAGGGAGACGATTATTTCAAATATTGCTCACTGGAAGGTCGTGCGTGTCGTAATTTTCAGAGCTTGAATTGTCACTGATCAGTTTTGCTGGATTACATTGCACTTCAACTTGACAGGGAGGGGGAAAAAGGAAGAGAAGATGGCGAAAGTAGGGGGGGCATTATTTTAAATTTTTTCCGTCAAAGGGGGCGATTATTCGAGGGAGGCGATTACTCGAGGGACGGCTGTAATTCGAGGAAATGCGGTACCTCGAAGGGCATGCAACAATGCCAATGATTACACATTTTGAGCTTTGGCCATCTGTGTTAAGGAGTCAGTGATTTTATAATTTCGGAGAAGAGATCCACACGAAATACACTGCAACTGTTTTCAAAATACTCCTGTGTTTCAGGCAATATATGCGTTTAATTCCTTAAACGCATGTATTACTATTGTATTTTTTTAGGATCATTGTACTTGTCAATCATACCTATCACCCACTATTTTTCAGAATTTGTCAATAATGACCGAAAAATCGATCTAGTTACCAATGATGACTTTATGTTGCTGGCAGTGAGAACTGCAGGGCCACCTTAAGCCGTTATCGAACAGCCTATTCCTCAAGAGCGCACATGAAATGCTTTGTTCTGTATGGAAGAAAATGAGGAAATGCACCCATGATGAAGTCTCAAAAGAGCACTGACTTAAAATGCATATCAACAATACCGAAAACTCGACAGAAGGTTTTTCCTAATTTAAAGTGAACAAGTTCGAAATGTCAGAGCATGGTCCTTAATATTGTTAGGGTACATTTTTACTCAGTCTGCTTTATTGTATGCGCTTCTCTTCGTAATCATTAATATTTATTCAGTTTATTCTATATTGGTGTTGGGGAGAAATGAATGCGTGACAACAAACGAACCCCAACGGACGTCTGCGGGGAGGCTATGTTAACCTCTGATGTACACTTTTGTGAAAAAAGAAGACGAACTATCATTTTCAGTAGATATTGAAGAAAAATAACGTTTGCATGCAAATTTCATTTTTTCAGCGGCTTAAAAGTGTTCGAAACGACTTTTAACTTTCTTTACACTCACCGATGGTTAACTTAATTTAAAGAAAAAGAGTGAGTCAAATTAATAATTAAAAGTACTATAACAAAGTTACGTGTGCCCTTAAGTGAGCCCGTAAGTTACCACGTAAAACAGAAACTTACGAGAGTGCTAAGTGTGTTCCATGCAACACCCGTAAGTGTACCCATAACGGATTCGTAAGTGACCTACTTAAGTGAGCACTTAAGTGCAGGTTTTATGCAACCGGGCCCTGGGCCCGGTTGCATAAAACGCCCGTAACAGTTACGGGTATACGTACGTGTACTCGTAACTTAAGTGAGTTGCATTAAATCACTTACGTGGTCCACTTAGGGATTTCACTTAAGTGACTGCACTTACGATTTTCGTAAGTATCCACTTAAGTGTCATTAATGCAGCAGAAATTGCGGGTGTTGCGTAAAACATTTTTTACGGCAAAGATAGCACGTAAATTTACGGGACCTATGTAGGTCCCGTATCCTTACTGTTTCTACCAAAGTTAACGAGATCTTTTACTGAGAAGTGAAAAAAAAGTTTCTTATTTAAGTAATTCCGTTCTAATGCGCTTTGTTAACCTCTGATGTTCACTTTATTTAAAGCCGTCCTTCAGAAAAAAGTAGAACATGCAACAAACATTATCAGTAAATATTCTTGTAATATAACGATGGCATGCAAATGTATTTCAAGGAAAGTGAACGGACTTGATGAGTTGCACTCATAGGATATTAAAATGTCAATCTTCTATACTGAATGATTTGAAATTATTTAAAAACTGTCATCAGCTTCAATAGATTATAAGGATTGTGAAAAAAACAAACAAACAAAAACAAAAACAAAAACGAACGAGCAAATTCCTAACGTTTTTTTCGACCCTCTTCAGTTTCATTAATGTCGTCTTGGTATCCTTCATCAGCATTGCTGCTGTCGCCCGTAGCTTCTTCTTCATCATCGCTTATAAAAACATTTCTACATTTCTAAGATGTCAATGAAACGGAATTCTGAAGACGAACAAGCCTCTAACCCCAGAAAAAGAGCGCCGAATTTTAAGACGGATAAAATCACAATTTTTTTCTCCATGAGGTAAAAAGGAGAAAGATGACTCTATTCGGCACTTTATCTCCTACACTGACATTTATATCGAAAATGCAAACATGGTTGGAGGTTCACACAGTTAGTATAGCCGCCGGGTTCCCACCAAGAACCAAGGAACAACTTAAAAAGAAATGGGAGGACTTGTCGTCAGCCACTAAAGCCAAATTACTCCAAACGAAAGAAGACTGGGGTGCAGGTGCAATAGAGTGGACTGATAGTGACGAGCTAATCAACGAGATACTCGGAAAAGAAAATCCCTACCAGGTATCTATAGTTGGTGGAATAGACTCTGGGGATAATATCCAAGCCTGAGAACACACCCTTGATGCTTCAAGTGGCGCCATTGAGAAACACAGCCTATCGTCAACTTCATCGTACCTTCCAGTAGGCCCAGATAGGGTGGTTAAATGGGAAAGTGGCTAGAGAACTTCGGAGAAGGAGTAAGAAGAAAGCCGTTTAAGGGAAGAACAAACAAAATAACCAAACTGTATCTGATTCCGACTCTGTTAGGGAACAAGTGCATAGAGAAAGGAACATTAAGAAGATATATGAAGAGCATTTAAAAGAAGAGCATGACGTCAAAATGAGAATTCTAAAAAAGAAGGAACAGCGGCTTGATCTTAAGTTGCAGTTGTTTAACTTAAAACTTAACAAGTAGCTTAGAACTTGTGCAGATATTACATTAATAAACTATTTTTTATCATGTCAAAACTTCTCGGTCGAATAATTTTTTTTGGTTAAATGATGACACACTTTTTTCTGTCTATATAAAACGTTATCTCAACCGGCTGAATTTCCCTAATCATCTAACAGAGGCTCAAGAGTGTTCGAAACGACCAGCTAATTTCTTTACACCTATCGATGGTTAGCTTAAAAAAATAGATTGGGTCACTAATAAAGTACTATATCAAAGTTACCTGTGCCCTTAAGTGAGCCCGTAAGTTACCACGTAAAACAGAAACTTACGAGAGTGCTAAGTGCGTTCCATGCAACACCCGTAAGTGTCCCCATAACGGATTCGTAAGTGACCTACTTAAGTGAGCACTTAAGTGCAGGTTTTATGCAACCGGGCCCTGGTCCCGGTGGCATAAAACCTACACTTAAGTGCCCACTTAAGTAGGTCACTTACGAATCCGTTATGGGTACACTTACGTGTGTTGCATGGAACGCACTTAGCACTCTCGTAAGTTTCTGTTTTACTTGGTAACTCACGGGATCACTTGAAGGCACACGTAACTTTGATATAGTACTTCATTAATGACTCACTCTTTTTTTTTAGGCTTACCATCGGTGAGTGTAAAGAAAGTTTTAAGTCGTTTCGAACACTGTTAAGCCTCTCAAAAAAATGAAATTTGCATGCAGACGTTATTTTTCTTCAATATCTACTGAAAATAATAATAGTTCTTCTTCTTTTATGACATCGTCGGCTTTAAAGTGTACATCAGAGGTTAACAAAGCGCATTAGAAGGAATAACGTGAAGAAAAATACTTTTTTTCACTTCTCAGTAAAAGATCTCCTTAAGTTTAGTAAAAACAGTAACGATACGGGACCTACATAGGTCCTGTAAATTTACGTGCTATTTTTCCCGTAAAAAAGGTTTTATGAAACACCCGCAATTTCTATTGCATAAACGACACTTAAGTGAACACTTACAAAAATCGTAAGTGCAACCACTTAAGTGAATTCCCCAAGTGGACCACTTAAGTAATTTAATGCAACTGAGTTAAGTAGTAGTTGTTACGAGCGTTTTATGCAACCGGGCCCTGACCTCCGAATATGTGGCTTGTGGGTTCAAAATTCCGTCCCTGATAACTTGTTGGACTTGTTTGAATGCCCTAAGAGGGATCTATGGGCGTTAGTTCTGTTCCAAAACACTTAAGTTTCCCAAGCGTGTGGTATCCCTCCTCGCTTCTATTGCCATGAGAACGAGTGTCTCCAAACTTGAGTTGTATGACTGGAAGACTTGTCTTGTCAGTAAGGAGACCGCTGTCCTCACGTCATTCATCATCGTTTTTATCACAGTTGCAAACATAATTCTTATAGCCTGCACATGTGTTGTTCATCCCACATGCGCATCTTAGAAGAACTGCGTGACACCCACCATCCAAACTTGTTCTCATATTTGTTTAAGGCCGATCCTTTACACTCATACTTGATAAACTGTTCACAGTGTGACGAGACATTGGTGAGACTCGCGAGCTGACACCGACTTGCTCCAGTGTAAGAGATGTCACGTGAGTAGCTGCCTGGACCTTCATAATCCTTCACCAATGTCCTGCTTTCACTGTCATGACTAATGACAGTCACGCCAAGGCCATCCTTGTCTTTCATGTCACAAGTCACGTCATACATAGGTGGCAAGCCTCCCTCACCGTCAGGATCAATGACGTAACTTCCACTCGCCGCTAAATGGTCCAGTTTTTTAAGATGGCTGCATGATTTTGCTAAAAGGAAATTGAATAATTGCATCACAGATCAAGTTGTAGTAACGCTGAAAGCGGCAATCCTTTTCGTATAAAGTAATCTAGGAAACAAGTGAATCTGCGTATTTTTTTTCATTTTGATAATTGAAAAAATGAATAAATAAACTTTAGTTATACGGCACAGTAATAATTTCGGTCTAATCTAAGGAAGAATATACGACAATGAAATCCTAAAAAAAAAAAAGATAACTATACTGCAATAGTTTAAAAGTTTTATTACTAATACAAATATCTGGATATTTTGTCATGTTAACTACAAAAAAACTTAACAATTAGGACCAATAGAGTTATCTGCTCATGGGACTGAGCCATACCTATCCGGTTGCAAAAACTTCCGATGAATCCTTTACTGCAACGAAATCCTTTTCTTGTGAATCCAGCTTGGCATGTGCCATTGTTCAGACATGGACTACTACTGCAGGGATTCTGAAGAAAAGATAGACGAGTTAATGTTACAACGATAGTCCAGGTCCAGTAATGGTAACAATAACAATAACGGACCGATGCATTGGTCTCTGACTGGCTTAAATTCCCCAGTTTTTCAATATCAATATAATTGACGTCCCAGTGCAGATCTTTTCAACTTGGACGGAAGATTTCACACGCTATGAGAACATGGAATTGACTACTGACTCACAAATAACAAAAAAAACAAGGAGAATAGACAAAACTACTACTCCTGGAAATACATCCGCCATGTGCAGGATGTCTGCTTGAATAAACGCCCTTCATATTCTAAAAAAGGCCATGGATCAGCCAAATGATTTAAAGAGGGAGGCTTTTTACATAGAGGTAATTACGCTTGGAGCTGAAAAGTATTTTAAATATGATATTAAGAATTATGTAGATCTCGGAGGTTGTTGAAAAACCGCAGAGGCCGCGTCGATCTGCATAATTCTTCTTATCATACATAGTCCCATCGAATAAATGCGGATAAATGCCAATAAAACTTGTTTTCCTCCTTTTTCTTTTATTATACCAGGCATCCAGATCTACAAAATGAATAAAAATGATGATGACGATACCTGGAAATAATGTTAGCAGTGATTATTATGATGCTGATGATAGTGATAATGATGACGATAACACGAATAATGAAACTGAAAGTGACAATGATGCTAATAATGATGATGATTTTTGTTTCTACAAACTAGCAAATTTACGGAAATAACAAAATTCTCCGATTATCCTAAGTATTTTAGTCATAATTCCATCACTTTATAATAAAACTGGTTTTACCTCGATTGCCAGATAAGTGTGGGCAGCTTTGTAGTTTAGTGCAGCAGCAAATCCATTTTCACCAGTGGCATTATTCAGTTCACATACGGTTTTACCACTTATTGATGGCCCCATATTTATGGACACGCAATTGGGCTCCATATAACACTTCACTCGACAGCTCCCTTCGTTAAGCACCTCTGCCCTGCTGATTAAGTGGCCCTCTATGACTGTGTTGAGTGTTGGTTCCTTGAACATAATAATGCGGCATTCCTCCGCAGCTGGTATAAATAGAAAGTACATATTATGTCCCGTTTGAAAAACATTAAAAGTAAAAAACAAAATGTGATCAAAACGGCGCCTTTGATAGCTAATGGAGGATATAGTGATTTTCTTTCACAAAAGTTCCTTTAGGTTTTAAAAATGTTATCTTATATGACTTTGTTATTTATTAATGAATGTTTATTAAATATAGTGCGCTTCGGTTGTTTTAAAGGATAAAAATTGACTGTTCACAGTCCTCTATTTTTCCGTAAGATCATCGAGATCGAGAGCTTTGCGTTACGGGCTACCCATCTTGCATGAGTGTCAAAACTACCTAGGGGGCGGGGGCGGTTTGGGAGGAAGCGAGAAAAATAGAGGGACTGTAATAACATCACTGCAGCTCGCGTTCAGGAGGCGTGACAGGAATTTCACGCCTTTTACCATTCTTTAATTAAGAAACTCCGCTGGAGATAAAAAAAACATGCCAGACACATTTAGCATCGATTACGCGTGTTTATAAATATCCCCAAATATCTCCTTTCGAAACAGTGATTTTATAATGTTTCTGGGCCATTCCTCGAAATAAAATCGGCAAACATGCACAAGAAAACATTTTCCTAATCAAAATACCAAAAATCCTTCGTGTTTTTGCGCAAGATGTCCCTTATGGTATGAAAGCGTACGTTTAATGGAAACGTCGACTTGTCAACGACTTGTCAATGTCGGCAACTTAAACTAAACCCGTTATCAACGCAAATTAACATCTACCAATCAAATGCCTGCGTTGCTGGTACAACGCGCTCCGTGAACGCGAGCTGCAGTGATGTTATTACAGTCCCTCTATTTTTCTCGATTCCCCCCCCCCCCCCCCCCCCNAAATAGACAGTATATATTATGGCCCGTTTGAAAAACATTAAAAGTGAAAAACAAAATGTGATCAAAACGGCGCCTTTGATAGCTAATGGAGGATATAGTGATTTCTTTCACAAAAGTTCCTTTAGGTTTTAAAAATGTTATCTTATATGACTTTGTTATTTATTAATGAATGTTTATTAAATATATCGCGCTTCAGTTGTTTTAAAGGATAAAAATTGACTGTTCACAGTCCTCTATTTTTCCGTAAGATCATCGAGATCGAGAGCTTTGCGTTACGGGCTACCCATCTTGCATGAGTGTCTCCCCCTCGATACATTTGAAAATCAAGATAGACGTGACGGTAAGAAGCGGTGTATCTAAACGATCTCACGAAAAAATAGGGGACTGTGAACAGTCTAGAAATGCAACGGCTATACGCTCTAGTTGCATTAGTCCACCCTAAAACTGTTTTTACCCACATGAAGATTCATTAGATTAGTCAGCCTAAAGATTTCGTCGTCGATAACGGTAGCGCGGAGCGACATTAACATCAAGCACAATGGAACAATTTGTACTTAAGAGCATAAATTTCTTTATAAAGCGTCGACCGTTTTCCAAATAGTAGCGATTTCGAGCTCCCATTTCCCTCCAGTTTTAAACACATCAATTTTTACAAGTTATAATTTGGTGTGATAAGTTGATCGTTTTTCTTTTCTTTTCGCCGCTACTTTGTCCAAAGTCACTAAACATTGCACTTTTTATCGATAGTAAGAGAGAAAAAGCCTCTAAACCATCCACTATTATTAAAAACTGTATAATTGGATAATGCAATTCTAGAGCTCTGATTGGCTTAGTCATCATGGTATATGAGCCAAGCTCTCCAAATGTGGCAACTGTACGCGTCTGCTCAAAATTTAAAAACAAGCTGAAAATAGGTTCTTTTACAAATAAAGTCGGGAAGAATTTTCGATATTTTGTGGGTGTTTTTAATAAAACAATTATTCCACTCTTGCTTGGGAGTATCAGATAATTTTAGCCCACTCGGCGCTACGCGCCTTGTTGGCTGGAATAATTGTTAAATATCAGTGATATGCAAGTTACTTATTAAGCTGTTCAAAGGATGACTTTCCGAGCAACGGAGAGTTTTTTAAATTTGCATGGTGAAAAGAGAGCATTGAAGTGAACATTTTTAACTCGAACGTTTATACGAGTTTTTAAAACAAATCGAGTCCAAATTCAATTTCTACTTGCATTATATTCGATATACTGTCTGCCATTAGTGCACCTGCTAACTTGTTAACGAAGGGTTTGTTTTCAGAAACGCTCGAAGCTCAGATATTAATTTTAAACTGGCTTGCACTGGGAATGAGATAAAAGTCTTTCTCACCTAAACTTCTTGAATACTGAATTGCAAGGAAAAAGCAAACGACGAAAACAACATATGAAGTTCCATTTGCCAGCTTTCCGACCAAAACAGCCATTATTAATATTCTCTGGTCCGCACAAAATTTAAAGTGGTCGTTTAAGCGTCTATAATTTGACGTATGTTAGAACTGTTAAGGCAAATAAATAAAGCGCGATTGGTTTAGGTGCGGCATTATTAAATACTGGGTCACATCGACCGGAGAGTTTAGAAATTAATATTTCCTATTGAAATAATAAAAAATGATGTGTATAGTTTTGGTAGCAAACTCATTTAATCTCAAGGAAACGTCTACTTTCAAATAAAGCCGTTTTAAGTATCACTAACTTCCATAAAGTCGTAGCTGATAAATGTTAAACTTATAGTACTGTAGCAGCTTCTATAAGTTTAAAGCAATTTTTCACTTAAATTTATCACCTCGTTTTATCATTTTTAATTACAATTGATTTAAATTTCTTGTGCTCACAGCCAATCTCGTGCCAAGATAACCTGTGGCCAAAGAAAACCATGTAGCCAGGAATATTGTTTTCGTCAACTGAAGGACTAATTTCAGTCCCAAGATATTTACTTGTCAACCAATAGGACTGACAGAATAAGTATTTTAATTTAACCGTTTGCTTTTTTAAAAAACAGGTGGTACGGTTCATGTATAAGTATATGTTAACACTGTTTTGTGAGATGCGCCAAAGGTTCTAAAACCTAGCTCGACATCAAACCGTTCATAATCAGTGCATTTTAGCTCATTTACTAGAATATAAAATATCATTTTTCTTGGAATAATAGCTAATATTTGCATTGCTTAAATTTGACTCAGCAGTACCGTACTGCGTTAAACATTCGATGGAAAGATTAGGCTTTTGTTTAATTAGTTGATTGTAGGTGAAGGAAGTAGCAGGTGGAACCACTGAGTGTTAACAATTCAAAAGTGTGCA